TACGTACGTACCTACCTACTACTAACTAACTAACTAACTAAACTAAACTAAACTAAACTAACTAACTACTCTCTCTCTCTCTCTACTACTACTATATATATAGAGAGAGAGAGAGAGAGAGAGAGAGAGAGAGAGAGAGAGAGAGAGAGATGATGGAAAATACTATGCAACGCCTATAAGCGAAAATGAACAGTGATTTCGCCTATGCTCATCACCATCCAAAGTTCATCGTATGGTCACAGTTATCCGGTAGTGTTTCAATTTTCATTTTTTTCTACAAATTGGAATGATTTGAAATTTGGAGTGTGTGTTCATCAAAAATAGGAGAATCTAATAAAAATATAAAAAAAATAATTTACAAAATATAAATTGATCAAAATACCCTTGAAAATTTACGGGGGTATTTTGGTCAATTTATATTTTACGAAATATTTTTTTCATATTATTATTAGGTGCGCCTCATTAAGATGTACACACGCTCCAAATTTCAGATAATTCCGATTTATAGAAAAAAATGAAAAATGAAACATTACCGGACAATTGTGATTGTACGATGAATTTTGGACGGTGATGAGCATAGCCGAAATCACTGTTCATTTTCGCCTATAGGCGTTGGGAAGACTTTTCCATATATATATATATATATATAGATATTGAATAACCCCTTGCAATGCTTTTACCTTCACAAAGTTTCTCCACCACACACAAGCCCCACACCATCTCTCTATCACAATGTTTCTGTGCAAGTTCTGTCTCCATCTCATGGCTCAAAACATCAGAATCACAATCAACCATACACCCAACAAGTGCTTTTGATTTATTCTCTCTCTAACTCATGTAAACCCAACAAAGTATGGCGGCTTTGGGGTGACATTGCTGAAGAAATCACGTACGGCTTGGTATAAATTGGGTTTGAGAGTAACCACTAACTGTTTCCCAATTAAAGCAACCTAATTATCTCTGATTAAGGGTGTTGTGGACCTTCCAGAGGGAGAAAGATCGTCTTCTCTCCCCGGACAGTTTTGATTCCGTTTAGTTCACTCCAAGACCTAGAGAATGGGTGCTTTTGATGCATATGTACTGGTCGCATTACAGTTTGGGCTTAATATTGTCGTGGAGAGAAGAGATCTTAGATGGAGTGATTTTTTCTTAGGAAGCGATTGGGAAAAAGTCCTTTTGGGGTTGTTTGTTCTCGTGCAATGGTCCCTGGGATTGTGAATGTAGAGGAGAGGGCTGGGAAGATGGTAAATTATTTAGAAAGAGAAGGGATATTCAAGAATTCATAGAATGTTATATTGACGAATATCATATTGAAAAAGGTATGATGTTTTGTAAGATTCGCCCAAAAACACCGGTAAAGCTACTGAAAAAAGTGTTTTCTAAATGCTGGGAAGCTAACTAGAGATTTATTTTTTGGTGACTTTTCCATTGGAAGAACCTGGTTTGTGAAAAGAGAGAGGGAGTTTTTGAGGAAGAATGGAGAATTGGACCATTTTGGGTTAGAAAAGGTGGTGAGGGGGGTATAGGTCCTATTTATTAAAGTTATAAAGGGGGTCCATAGGTTTTACATGAACCCGAGGGTTTATGTGTACCTTAAGTTTGAAGGAAAGAAGGGGGGAGGGGTCATTTTTCGTATTTATTATGGTAGGAACACTTAGTATCTGATGGAAGTGAAATTTTGTTTACAAATTTATTTGGGATGCAAAGAAGTAAATCTAATGATGAATAGATATGGTGATGTATAGCACACCTTTTTTTTGTAACGGGCAATGATGTTTATCCTTTTGGTGTAACTCTTTGTGTATGAGTTTAGTGCAAGTTGAAATCGCATTTTGATAACACATTTTACACTTCTAGTTTAACTTGTGCTGTCCTTGATGTGATGCTTGAAAGTCATGTAAGATTTAATTCCTCTATCAAGCTATGACCATTCATGTGAGGGTTCTGATTATTTATGCTGCACTCCTGGCCTCTCTGAAATTAAAAGCAAGCAGAGTTTAGCTTATTTTGAATGAGGAGATCTTGACTGAAATACATTTGTCGTTAGATTGAAAGGTGGGCGAAACAATATCTTTCTGCTACTGGTGAAGGAAAACTTGAACGCAACCCAAAAATGCTAAACTTGGTTGACTGGCTTAACTACCATATACCGCCTGAAGACTCTTCAGGAGCATCAGGAACCGGACTTGTTCATGGAGACTACCGAATTGATAATCTCGTGTTCCATCCTTCAGAGGTAAAATTTTCTATATTGTGTCTCTCAATGCATTTAATGATTTGTTCAGCTTGTAACTTATACATTTCATCAGGTATTTGAACTTCTGTGATGCTTTCTTTAGGTCATTGCATAAGGCCCTACTTCTGAAAGCAGTTCTATGATTCTATCAATGCAAAACAAAATTCAATATATTGTATTATGGTTTTTCCTTATTCTATGATTGGATCAGCAGACGTCATGCTTTTGAGTAATATCAAATGCATCATAAAGATTCCAGCAATCTTCATTAAACACATAATGATCTGTTTTCTATTTCAGCCCTTTGAGTATTACTTGGCTAAGTATGCTACTTCTGGGCTACTCTTTGTGTTTGTTGCAGGAACGAGTGATTGGTATTCTTGATTGGGAACTATCAACCCTGGGAAACCAAATGTCTGATGTTGCATATACATGCATGGCAAGTGGTTTACTTATATTTGATATACTGATTCTTTTGCATAATAAAAAGGATAATTAGTTTCTTATATTTATAGCATTTGACCAGATTTGTGCATTTATGCATTTTTGGACTTTCTGAATATTCTAGATCTCATTTGTATAAGGTTTAACTTTCTCCTGCAGGTTTAATATTTATCTCAGCAGCTTGTTGTCAATGATGAACAAACTGGCTGTTAGTGCTTACGATCAGTTTATGCTGATTATTTTTACTGCATATGCTTATCTCATGTATGGGCTGTCTTTCATTTCTCAATTATTGATAGAAAAGTTTCAATTTGGGAAAACTGAAACATATGGTAGTTACATGGTGTTTGTTGGTGTGGGGTAACAACATGAGCAATGTCAGTTTCTGTGGTAGGTGGATAGGGTTTGCCATCAATTGCCACTACTTCATGATGTCATCCACTGGATCATCCTCATGACCAGACAATGTTACATTCAGTTTACATCGAGTAATCAAGTGCCATTGAGGTGACCTGCAATATCTATGCCCCAGGGATTCTACATGTGGCCCGTTTTTATCTAAAACTGTCATGACATTGGCTTTGTTGAATTCCTCGGTTTTTTATCTCCTATCATCAAAATGTCAAGGTTAACTTTCTCAAAAAAAGATCATCAAAATGTCATCCATGAATATCAGACGAGATTAAATTCCCATTCTGTCATGCAAACAGGCATAGAATGATTACCATCTTAAGCCAATATGGACTACAATGCCTTTCTAAATTGTTGAAACTATGCTCTGGAACTTGCTTTTGAGAATACAATGCCTTATGCTGATGATACATGATTGAATGGGTTTAAGCAATCATCCCTGGTGACGAGCTTATGTATATCTCATGTAAATCTAAGTTATGCTCTTCATCCTATTAAAGAATGTGCTCTTCATGTCCACGTAGAACAGTGGTAATGCTCGACTATTGTGATCACGACCAGCCGGCCTACCATGGTCACTTTAGTTACATGAGAAAATGTCCCTCATAGTTGGACCATGCCGTGAATCTATTCAATGAAGCAAGTGTGTACTAACTATTCATATGATTGAAGTTTGAAACTCATCTTAGGATTTGTTTTAATACTATGCTGCAGGCTTTTCATCCATGGCCTTTCCGAATGTGGTCTACGGGAGGCTTATTTTGTAATTTTTGGGTTCTTGAGCAGAATTGAGTGATTTTGAGAAAGACTCAATGGTCATAAGAGAAGGTGCTCTAGGAAACACATTATACAGTGGAATATGAGTATGAGAACAACATACCTATCTTTTGTAATGATTTAAAATATGACTTTAACATACTTCACATTTTCATTGCTAATATTGGTGTGGATGGCAGTAGTGTTCTATAAAGAAGCAGTAGCCACACCCCTCCAATCATATTGTAATTCATTTACAGCTAATAACCTCATATATTGTCTTGTGGACTAATAACCTCATATATTGTCTTGTGGATAGTTCCATCCCAAATTGGCATATAACTAAAACCCATTGGCTTGAGTATATCAAGACACCGTTATTTTTTATTATGACATACTACCTAGTTGGCTTGAAATCATATATCCTCAAGTGCACTTTCCCTTGATCTATGATATCATTTTTTTTGGCCATCAGGATCACCTTATTTCCTGCACATGCACTTCTTGTCACTTGCCTATATTTATCATGAAGGACTTTGCGCCTCCATTCTGCCCAACTCATTTATGTTTCATAGACAAAGGGAAATCTTGTGATATGTATTGTAAGTTAATTAAACCAGCAAGTGATATTACTGAGTTGTTAATTATTTTAGAGAATTTGGTGGGTCACGCCTAATTTCACGCCATTCTGAACAGTTGTCTACCTAGAGCAATAGCTCCTATAGCCTAGTCCAGCCCAGTTTATCTATCTTTGAAAAATTGAAAGTGATTTGGTGACTGCTCTATTTATCATGACATGTACCAAAATGGCACCAATTTCCTCCAAGATGCACTTGTCAGCTCTTCTAGCTGTACTCTTCTGAAATTTTAATTGCTGAGATGAACTAGCACCAAGCAATTAAATTGTGAAACGACTCCAGGATCATGCAAATTCTGGTTCTTCATCAGTTAACGTAGACTACAAGGCTCTTGACATAGTCATCAGACACATGACATTTTATAGTGATGTGTCAGATTTTTGATGTTATGATATGTTTGTACCTAATTACTGTGGATGGTATTAAGCTTTTAGGGAATTACTATTTCCTACATGCATTGACAGTGCAACATGTAGTGAATATAAAAATGACGACTGTTGTATGCAATTAACAAGATGCAGGTTCTTATTTTCTTGTTGTAATGTCCTGTCAGCCTTACATTTTGGATTTGACATCGAATGATGCAATTTCTGGAGTCGAATATGTCAACATTCCGGAAGGAATCCCTTCACAAGCAGAGTACCTGGCTGAGTACTGTTCAGCAGCTGTAAGTATTGTTTTGCCTCCTTATTTGCAGTACTTTTAAGAGCATGTGTTCTTTATTAAAAATAATATCAATATATCATATAATATCATTTTTCCTTTAAGCAATTTTTTCACAGAACCTTAGTAACGCAGGGAAGACCATGGCCATATAAACATTGGAAATTTTACATTGCCTTTTCCATGTTTCGTGGAGCGTCTATTTATGCGGGGGTGTATCACAGATGGAACCAGGTAGGTTCTTACACAACCTATATTATGGAATAAAGCTTATAAAATTCATTTTCCTTGTTTATTTCAATGTGTTTATTAAGAGAAAGCCATTTCAGACTTGACTTCACTTGTGCAGGGCAATGCTACAGGAGGTGAACGAGCCCAGAATACAGGAAGATTAGCAAACAATCTGATTGAGACAGCGTGGGCATTTATCGCTAGAGATGATGTGCTTCCCAGCAGGCCTCCGTCTGGTATGTTTAAAAAGCTCAACTCCGCATTCAGCTTATCAAGACTGATACTCATACTCAGATTTTAGAGTGAGAATATTACAATTCCAAAACACGAATGATCGATTTTGCAAATAAAAAATACAAATGAGTTGCTTGTGAAACTTGCTTTCATTAATCAGGTTCGATATGAATGTTTAGCAAGGAGTTACCATGTCCTATGTTTTTAGGATTTTACTGATGCTGCAGAATGTACCTCAGATTTTCTTATGCTAGGGCTGTGCACCCATATATTAATTTTCATCCTCCAAATGCATTAAGAGTACTTACACCTCCTTGTCTCTTTTACCTTCCTCCAAATTTTTTGGAGACTCACTTTTTTGTAAAATTCTGGTCAACTAGTACTTGTCCGCCATTGCACTTTATTAACTTTGATATTTGATTATGCAATAGTTATTCTTGTCATCTACAAATTCCAGCAAACGGAGTGGAAAGCATTGAGCCTGTACATTACCTGATAAATAAATACATGAAGACCATCTGGGTTTTGGATGAGAATAAATTTTCTGGCTGTCACAGGATGTCTTTATCGTCCTTTCGATTTTAAATTGTAATAGAATTTGTTGATTATAAAACCAAAGGTTCTTATGGTTAATTATATGAAGACGAAATTATGTTCCCCCCCCCCCAAAAAACACTTGGTCAGTTTTTCTTTGTCTTAGTTGCTCATTGGCATGCATGCAAGCGTTTTAGTTCTGTCCGTTTCTTTTTTTGTTTGAGAATATATGGTGTTTCTTTGTCATCTGATTGAATCGGCATATGCAGCTTTAGGTGGTGCTCATGTCCCACTTGAAAGAGAGGGGGTGGCTGGTGACATGGATAGAGGAAGATATGTCTTGCGTCCAGATGTTCAAGAGCTGAGAAGTAAATTGCTGAAGTTCATTGACAATCATATATACCCATTGGAAGAAGAATTCAACAAGCTTGCAAATTCAAGCATGCGCTGGACAGTGCATCCTGAGGAGGAACGTTTAAAAGAGATGGCTAGAATGGAAGGCTTATGGAATTTGTGGATACCTGTAAGCGTCTCATTCTTTGTCTAATAAATGGGCTCTCACTACCATATATGTTCACCATTACCTGTGGATGATCCTCTCTTTTGGGACTTCTAAATAAAGAATGCATACATTTTCTGTTATCGAATAATTGTTGAACATCAAAAACAAAAATCCTAAGTCTTTCTTTGTTTTCTAAATATAAAAATTCAGGAGGACACTGCTAAAAGGGCAAGGCTGCTTTTAGGTGGATCAATGGGTGATTCCCTTGAGTATGGAAAGGCTCAATTGCTGGGTGCTGGGCTTTCAAACCTTGAATATGCTTATTTGTGTGAGATTATGGGACGCTCGAATTGGGCTCCTCAAATTTTCAACTGCAATGCACCTGACACAGGAAATATGGAGGTATATTAGATTTTTGAAGGATAATTGCTGGAAGCATTCTCTTTCCTTGATTAACATCATGATGAATTTTGCTTAAATAACTACTTCTAAATAATTACTTAATTGTATATTCTCCTTTTTTAGACAACTTGTCACAATGTAACATCATATTCTGATTTTATAATTTACAGAGGATCTTCTTAGTGATATTTTAAGCTTCTTATTTTTATTGTAACCTAGGAAGTCTAGCTCCGCCAGATAAGACTAGAAATAATGGCCTGTCTAGACCAATATTGGATCATGCAACTAGTGTTAACCTGAAATTCTATTTGGCTCGCTATGTTGGTGTCCAACACTCCAACATTGTTGAGAACTCAAGAAGTAAATAATTATATGTATGCAACACATTTTATGATAAGTTCATTTATCTATTTTAATGTTTACATATCATATCTTGCTGTAAATTTACCATTTTTATTTCGTACTTATTTTATTATATAAACATGTCTCTGTTTGGGCAGTATGAATAAACACCAAAAAAATGTGTTGAACACTGATACATGTGCTGCGTTCTTGAGGCCCTACGTGCATTATGTTGTAAATAGCTTTGGAAAGTTGGTACAATGTTTGAACACTTTGGAAACTTTCCTTTCCTTATTTTTACCTTAACGCAACTCCAACATTCCTCTTTTGTGACATATTTTTCTTCTCCAAATTTCTTACGAAATGTCTTCATGTAACACCTTCCCAGTCCTATGTACCATACTATCTTCTCAGTTTTTATATTGTCATATAAAGGAAATCAATGTTAATCTTATCTATCACAGGTATTTATTTTAAAAGGATAGAAAATACAAAATCAATATTTTTCATGGTCAATTATATTTTTAGGTTGTTCCATTGATTAGTTTCTTTGGACTTAGCATGATATAAGGAAAAAAGGTTGCAATTGGTCGAATGACATTTCCTCCTGTATTTTAGGTATTGCTTCAGTATGGAACCCGGGAACAACAATTAGAGTGGCTTGTTCCACTACTGGAAGGACGAATTCGCTCTGGATTTGCAATGACCGAACCACAAGTTGCATCTTCAGATGCGACAAACATTGAGTGCTCAATCACACGGTGAGTTGGGCAATATTTTTTATGCATTTATGTGAATAATCATACTTGTGGGACACCAATAAATGTTATCAATTTTCCAATGCATGGGCATGAAGATGAATTTTTTATGCATGGGCATTGATGTGAATGCTTTCATGAGGGCATGCTTGCATACCATGGCATATGGACGACACTGTTTTGAGTTCATGCATACATGATGGATTTCAGTTGGCTGATTTAGTCCTATGTATGGTTATGCACATAAAATCTGTGTAAATTTGCTGCATGTGGATGCCAGCTAAGTATTGTCTAATTATGGAGAACTGGCCAGCATTGGTATGTGTAATCTCAGGAAGGCTACTAAGCCCAAAGTAAATTCTTCGTTTGACTTTGAATCTGGGCACTTTCTGTTCATTTACGTTGAAACAATATCTAGTGAATGAAAACTTAAATATGTAGCATGTTCTGCTCTTCAATGTGGTAGAATTGGTCCATCTTTGCTGCTTTTTTTTAAAAATTGAATTTTCTGCAAGATAATCAACCAGGTACTTGATTTGGAGGATGCTTTGCACTAGTTAACAGCAAATCTATCTGAATACTAGTAGGGATATGGCCTGTCAACAGACAAGAACACCTGAATTTCAGATTACATTACAAATGTCTCAGATCAATGAACTTAAGGGGTTTTAACAATAACATAAATTCAACTATAGTATACCACACGAATATAAACACATTTATTGATATTACACAAACAATCCCTGCAATTTGTGTGGCAGCTATTGGAGACAAAAAAAGTCAAGTGGGAATGAACGTACAGAAGCCCTGGCCATAGTAGTGAATCATATAAAAAATGCCCTCGAATCTTCCCCTCTGCTTTTGACAGAAGCACAAAATGAGAGGAGAGACTTTGAAAGCTAAGCTCCATTGCCTACTACAACAGTAAGCATTTCTGATTGTGGCTCACAACCCCCAAAACAACACCAGCCACATCGAAGCCATCATCTGCCATGGCTAGTTCCAAAACATGGATGCACAGATGCTTTGTGGCCTCTGCTACTACAACGTGGTTCTCAAAATGGGTGCTGTCTTTGCTTGCAGCATCCTCCACACCATCTGCTTCCTGCATCTCCATTGGCTTGAATACATTCATGGCATCACCACTGGCCCCCTTGGTGTGGCCATCAACAAACTGTAGATGTATTTATGGTCCTGAAACTCAACCCTAAACTAGCTACACATATGAAACTGAGTGCATGAGCATGAATTGGGAGGCCATTATCTCCAGGATTTAGCACCGGAGCCTATATGCTTACACTCAACTACTATAGCAGGGGCGTACCCCACACTTGCACCATGTACACATCCTCCAAGTGCTATTTTGGCGATGTGAGCCCGCTGTGAGGTGCCATACACCATTGTGCCTAACATGGCTTCGAGGTTTTTACGCTATGACGCACCCCTGGAAGAGCGTGAATGTATTGACCAGATCGAGTTGAAGGTGAGGAGGGAGTATGAGCTGGTGAACACGGGGTATGTTGGTTTTACAAATACAAAGTCGGTGACATCCTTTGCCTGAGCGAGCTCCACAACAATGTATCCTAGTTCCATTTTGTGTGTTGAAATATCTTCCTACTGGGCATCGACACAGAAAAGACAGACAAGGCCCACCTTCAGAGGGGAACGAGGTCACGGGCGAGGTGCTCCGACACGAGCATGGTGCCCCCATTGCCAATTACACAAGTTACGCTGACAGTAATACCATCCCAGGGAACTACGTGATATTGTGGGAGTTGTACGGCGAAGGGGCGCCGAAAAGAGGTGATGGACAGGTGTTGCTTGGAGATGGAGGAGAAGATGGAACGCCTTGTATAAGGAAAAATTGGGTGGAGAGGAGTTCGATTGGGCCACTTGATTCGCGTGTGGTCTCATCTCACCTTCAGCCCCACTGCCCCGACCTACCCAATGTGCACCACCATTATTGCTCCACTGAGCAACACTCGTGGCCCGAACTACTCTCTCTTGAATTAGATGTGTGCATGCAATCGCGCTATCAATGCTGAGACTGTAGCACTGCTGCCACCAAAGCCGGCAGGGAGAGAGATTGGGAACAAAAGGAGAGACCTAGTTAAGCTTTTATATATTTGGAACCAGGATAGAGAGAGAGAGATTCAAATATCTAGTTGCTCGAATTATGTCATTGTTGAAAAACCCTTACATAAATGAATTAAGATTTGCATTGCGCTTTCTCAGAGTGACGACAGGAAGCTTGGCCTTCAAAGTCTCTCACTCTCTTCCCTTACCATCAAAAGCAGAGGGGAGGAATCGGGGCAGTCTTTTATATTGTTTGTCACTATGGCCATGCGTTTTGCACAGTCCTTCCAACTTAAACTTATTTGTCACCAATGTTTTCCATGTAGTTTGTATGGATATATGTTAGTGCAATATGGTTTAGTGAACCTTTTTTTTTGTGCGTGTGATATGCTCTAGTTGAATTTATGTAGTTATAAAAATCTCTTTACTTAAAGATGTTTGGATCAATCAAAATACTATTGCGGAATTGTAAATTTTTGGGCACTAACAGAAACTAATGAGTAGGGTTCATTTTGATCCATAATTAGTTACTAGCAGAATGCGCGTGCTTCACACGTGATTTGTATTGTTTTAAGAGAAATTAGAAGATTTATAATAAACTATAATTTTGTATATTAATTTCAAGTAAAATACTACTTAGAATAGTGCAACGCATTATGTTTGTGTGGTGATATGTTGTGCATGCCAGCTCCACTTATGTGATGAGTTTAGGTGTCAACCATAAGTGGCGTTATGGATACATAGGGGAAGGTAATAGTGAATTTTTTGTTGTTGTAAGAACATGTAAGAATAATCTATATAATTTATACTAAGTAAGAACAAAGGAAAATTAAAAACTAAAATTTTATAATTTGATTGATTAGTTGATTTATACTGAACATTCCCTTGTCTCCTCCCATTTAGGGGAATTCTCTATTTCTCTCTTCCTGTCTCGCATTTCTGATGGCCTACATTGGAAATTCTTAGCTATCTACGGCCCCTGCTTGGCCTCTCTCCGCCCTCGTCTTTGGTCGGAACTTGATCCGGTTGCCTCTCTTCCCCATTCTGTCTGGTGTCTTGGAGGAGATTTCAACATTACCAGATGTTCTTTTGAGAGAAACTCAAATTCTTCCATTTCTCAGGGAATGCATAATTTTTCAGATTTCATTTCTCGGTAGGAACTTCTAGATTTACCCCTTCAAGGTTGTCGGTTCACTTGGTCCAACCACTCTCATCAACTTTCGTTGTCCAAACTTGACAGATTCCTTTTTTCGGTGGACTGGGAGGAAACTTTCCCGGGTTCCCACGCTATGGCTCTGGCCAAAGCGACTTCCGACCATTGCCTTGTTCTCCTTGATACGCAAGTCCTCCGTAGAGGCCCTAAACCCTTCCGTTTTGAATTAGCCTGGCTTGAAGAAAAGTCTCTCCTTACCCTCATCCCTGCCTGGTGGAATTCCTTCTCTAGTCAAGTCTCGTGCAGGGCAGGTTTTCGACTCCAAATCAAAATTCAAAGGCTTAAAGCTGCCTTGAAGATTTGGAGTAAATCCATCCCTGGGAATTACTGCCAATCTAAGGCCTCCCTCCTCGCATCCATTCAAGCTCTAGATAGGGTAGAGGAATCACGACCTTTGACAGAAGCTGAATTCGACTCGAGGAGTCAATTGAAGTCCGACTACCTCTCCACCCTCAAAAAAGAGGAACCGCATTGGTTCTAGAGATCTAGAGTTAACCAGCTTAAAGCTGGTGACCTGAATACACAGTTCTTCCACCGGATAGCAAATTGCCGTAGGAGAGAACACTATCTCCACCATTAAAGTGAATAATTCTCACTTGGTTCAGCCTGATGACATCGAACATTCTTTTCTTTCTTACTTCCAAGCGCTTTACACTGCCCCCTGTTGTCCCCTGACCGGCAATGGCGGACTTGGATTTCCTGTCTCTAACGGACACATAGGCCCTGTGGCTTTAGCGTCCATTCTTGGAAGAGGAAATTCTTAAGGCTCTACATGATTTAGCTGGAGACAAAGCCCCTGGTCCAGACAGTTTCCCCATAGCCCCGTTCAAATTATTTTGGGATACTTTCCGCTTAGACTTCTTGAGTTTCTTCGAAGAATTCTTTCACGGGGGAATTTTAAATAGGCTATTAATGCCACTTTTATAGCTCTGGTACCAAAGGTGCAAGGGCCTGAGGAGCAAAAGGACTTTCGGCCAATAAGTCTATTGAATTCCTCTTACAAAATCCTGGCCAAAGTCTTGGCTTCAAGGCTACAACAGGTCCTCCCTTTTATCATCTCCCAATCCCAATTTGCCTTCATCAAAGACAGACAAATCCTAGATGGAGTGTTACTTGCTCACGAGTGTATTCACTCCAGGCACTTTTCTAAAAAGCCGGAGCTCATTTTCAAAATTGATTGGGAGAAAGCCTACGACTATGTAGACTGGACCCTCCTGGATGAGACCATGAGAAGCATGGGGTTTAGAGATTGGTGGAGGAAATGGATGACAGGTTGTCTCTCTAACCCATTCTTTTTTATTCTTATCAATGGCTCCCCTAAAGGTTTCTTTCCCTCCACGTGGGGGCTTCCCCAAGGGTAACCTCTTTCCCCCTTTCTCTTCACTATTACGGCTGAAGTCTTTAGTCGGTCCATCTCCCGCCTCTTCCAGGCAAGCCTTCTTTTGGGCTTCCATACCTCTCGTCGAGGCCCTATGGTGTCACACCTGCAGTATGTAGACGACACATTAATGTTTTTAGATGCCTCTCCACAAGAAGTTGAAAATTTGAGATTGTATCTCAAGTGCTTCCAAGATGCCACTGGTTTCAAAGTTAACATGGAAAAATAAAAAATGATGGGGGTCCTCATATCCGCTGCTGATATTAAGGATTTGATTCTGACATGGGAATGCAAAGTGGAGGATCTCCCCATTGTGTATCTTGGTTTGCCCCTAGG